TAGATTTAAGTCAAAGTGGAATATCCTGAAATTGCTTCAAAAGCACTGAAAAGTTTGCTTCCATTTCCAGCATCTTTGTGAAGCAGGGTTTTCTGCCGTGATGCTAATCAAGACAAGATTAGGGACCCGTCTTCCGACCAGCTCACTCTCTGCCTCTTAGGAGCCCAGAAGGAGGGCCCCCCTCGCACAGCCGGGGGGCCACGCAGCCGCCAGCGCTGTTGCATGCCGGCCCTCAGGCCGACCGCTGCCCCTCAATTGAGAACTACCATGACACAGAGAAACAATGACACAATTGGCCCACCATGCACCGGCTGCAGATGCCCACCCACGGACGTGTGTGAATCATTCAAACATGGAGAAACCCCTGGAAATACGTGCCATACAACGGGTCACTCTTGCTCCTGCCAGTGAGAACCAGAAAGGTCCAGAGTCAGCAGAGGAGCAGCTGCTGAACAAGGACTCGGAGAACATGAGAATGCAGACTAAGCCCAAGGAGTCAGAGGTCCTGTGGACTGGGGTCAAGAGAGTCGCTCGGAAGCTGTAAACCAGGAGGACCTTGCACAATACCTGCGGAGGCTCCCTGGAAGCCATTCTTCCCCTGACAGTACAGGCTGTGGTGGAGCTCCGGAGAAGTCTGCAGCAGGATTCCTGCTGCCTGTGCTGACAGTTGGGGAAAGGACACTAACTGGTATGGGGTCCCAATGGGATGGGAGGCTGGAGATAAAACACTACAAAAAATGGCTTTCTCCCCAGAAGACTCACTTGATTTTTGACAACCCATAGGCTGTAACTACTTGTTAGATCCTTCTTGGGTATCTCTGTCTTCCTGAGAAACCTCTTTGAAGATACCACCATGTATTACAGCAGTCACTGGTATTTTCCTACCAATCTATCCATAACACTGCAATGTTTGTATTGTTCCTATCCTATTTCATAAATGGATGCATGTCTATCATTACGTGTTTCCTACAACAACCATTGAGAAAAGTTAATGATTATTCAATAGGTCACTCATGTATAGCTCTATTTATTTTCTTTAGAAGCCAATTTGAAGATACCAAAGTATAGTACAACAATTATTGATAATCTCCTACCTCTTTTGTCTGTAACTCACTATTATTTGTCTATTTGTTTTCCTGAGAATCTATCTTGTAGATAACAATATGTGAAACAATAACCATTGATAATTTCCTACCACTTTGTCTATAATTTGGTAAGCCCCCCCTATTATTATGTTATCCTTCTTTTACTCTTTAAAATAAAAAAAAAAAAAGAAAAAAAAGACAAGATTAGGGAATAGACTAGATGTAAGCAGCACAGTTTGGGTGTCACTATTTCCCGTCACCCCGAGAAGAAACAATCTAGTTAGAGGAGAACAAGCTCAGGGCTCCCAGTGATTCTACAGTACAGTTGTTTCACCACATATTACAATGCAATAATAATAGAAATAAAATGCACAATAAATGTAATGTGCCTGAATCATCCTGAGCCTCTCTGCCCCAAGCCATGGAAAAGGTGTCTTCTAAGAAACCAGTCTCTAGTGCCAAGAAGGCTGAGGATCATTGCTTTAAACAACCTGGGTTAGTTATATTACTAGTGTAACAGAAACAATATGTTAATAGTTGTTACACTATATTTAGGAATTAATGATGAAAAGTTTGTACAAGTGCAGCATGAATACAAGGTTTTGAAAACCATTGGAGAGTTCACCACCATCTGACTTTTGGGCTGTGCAGTCTGCATCCTGTTTGGACCATTCCTTAAACCCTTTAACAATCCTACATGTGTCTGTTGGTTCTTCCTGAATTCACCCAAGCCCTCTTGTGAGTGTCTTATAGCTTCGGATAAAAAACTCAGGCTATCTAATCCTATTGTATTTACTACTGTTATACAAAAATATATATATGTGTGTGTGTGTGTGTGTGTGTGTGTTCAAAATATGTAATATAGCTTATAATCTAACTTTTCTGTTATTTTAGTTTTGTGATTTATGTTTATGATTCTAGTATTAGTTTCATTTTTTTTTCTCTTTTCAAAACGAAACATCAACCTCTTCAGTTTTGTTTTTTGACTTATAATGCTAATAAATAATAAAGCTACATTTATGGGTAAATATATTCATAACAAAATGTAGTCAAATGGAAATATCATAGTGTTAAGTGAAAAAAGTAAACTACAGAGTATGGTAGCATTTTTGTTTAAAAAACTTCACATAGTTCTTTGAGTAAGAATCTGAAAAGCTCTCTATAAACATAACAACAGTACTTAATGTGTAGTTTGAAAGTTCTGTATAAGAGTCCACTACCTCCTAAACATGGCTTAGAGAATGGATTAGAGTTATACACAGCTTATTCAGGAAAGTATTTTTCTGTTTAAAACTCACAGGTTAAAGCTCTGTTGAGATACAATTGCCTTAGCTTCCAGGGGCATGCCACCTTCTGGAAGGAAGGAGTATTTCACTATTAAAAGACTAGAAACTTGGTAAGGAAGCTCAAATTAAAATTATGTAAAAACTATTCTTATTTAGCACTTAATTTTGAACCTTATGGATAACAATCAGATTTGTTAAACCGAAGAAGAACCAATTTAATGTAATAAAAACCAGCAGGAAAGGTCACCCAAGAGAAAGACTTAAGGAAATGGAAAAATAAAAATTAATATTGTATTCTGAGTGGCTCAAAAATATGCAAATTTTCACTCTGTTTTCCTGTTTTAAACCGGAGTGAACATAAAATGCCAAAGATAATGTCTTTATTCTGAAGCAATGCTTGTATCTAGGAAGGGGACCACAATTTGATCTATGAGGGCATGCAGCTATGTCTAAAAAATATACCAAAGTAAAAAAAAAGGTATCCTGCAGAAATACACCTTTTCATCTGATAATGCACCTATATAGAGTGGCTCTAAATATGTAAAGTCACAGAGTCCATGGAGATGCATGTAAAAATGTACATCTCCAATGGTAGCTAGAAGGATTTTCTTTGCGGAAAAGGAAAGGGAACCAAAGTTGTATAGCAGTCAAGTGAAATTTTGTTTTTCAAAGAAGAATGAATTTGTAATTTGTATAACTTATCACCAATTAAAAATGCAAAATAAATATCACTTACAAAAACAAAAGGAACTAAAAATGTTCCCCCAATCAACAGAACCCCACTTTAGAGTTCCAACACCAATATTTTGTAATATAGCAGGTGTAATATATATTTCTTGTAAATAGTAGCAGCACTGCGCAGTGCACCATATCATCGGTTTTTCCGTGTTGTAGTTGTGTGTGTTGCTGGATACATAATAAAGTACCCAGGCTAAGAGCACCTCTACATTATAAAGCACTTTTAATTGAAGTTCCTTGTGGACAGCATAGTTTATTTCTGTGAAACTGCTGGCATTAATAATTTAAAAATATTAATGCTTGTGATCTACAGGACTGAAGTCCTCTGGTAGATGTAAAGATTTTTTCTAGAGAAGACAATTTGGAGTAATTTAGCCAGAGGCCTATCTCAAAGGACCTTTTAAGGGCTTTACTAATTCTAGGTTGACATTAATTTCCTTGTCAATATTGAGTGCCTGTTATTTGTAAGGGTCAGTGTGGTCTAAATCAGGCAGGTGGCCTCAGACTGTGAAACAAAGATGTAGGTGGTTTTATCAGAAGGCGTTAACTCTGTAGTGGTTTAGAGTCTAGACACAAAAGCCATACGTATGTGGATTTCATTTCTCACAAAACTGCCTATGAACGCCATAATCCTGTACAAATGAAGGGGATATATAAAACCTTCTTCAGAGAGCTGTTAGGAAAGGAAAACGAGATTATATAAAGGGCTTGCTGCAGTTCTGGCACATAGTAAGCGTTCAGTTAATGTCAGCATCTGTTAATATACTCGAATCTTCATTGTTTCAAGGGTGTTTCCTTAAAGCCATAAAAAGGCTTTTGAAATTATCTAGCGGACTTCATTTCTTAGAAGATGACTTTCAACCTTTTCCTACTGATACTTAATACCAGGGAAGATACCACAATTTCATCAAACTAGTTACTGATGGAATAACAGAAAATGAAATGAAAGAGAGGCAAGAAGTCCAGGGGATTATATGTGTGGAGAGGAGGACTGGTGGGAGACTGCTATGGGGCAAGTATGAGGAAGGGAGACTAAAGGGAGAAAATGCAGAGCAGACAAGGAAGAAAACGAGAACAGGCAGTCTCTAAGCGGTGTAAGTAGATAAGTGAGGAAAAAAAGAAACGGGAGAAATAAAGAAGCAGGAGAAATACAGAGGGGCCACAGTTCGTCAGCGTAGGCACGGACACTGTTTAAGAGCCGATGGCCTGGGTTCCGATCACTGCAAAATTCATGATTATAAAATATACTGCCTATCCTCACTAAAAGCATTTTTCTTTGGAGTCTGTAGCGCGCGTTATTAGATGTGACCGGTGGAGGTATGCTCTGCTAAAGAGAAAACGCTACTTAAATAAGGAGTTTAGCAGGGCAGAGAAGGGGAGGGCACGTAAATGTCGGCAGGGCGGGTGAGCACCGAAGGAAACCGCGGGAAGGACGTGGCTGTGGCTACTGCAGCGCTCGTTCCAGCGCAGAGCGCTGAGCCGGCAACTTGCCAGGTACGATGTCAGAGCCAAACGTGCCTAGTTTCATGTTATCCTTATGGCATCTCTATGAGCCCAAGTTATTATTACCCTCATTTTACAGAGGAGGTTTCGGAAGCAGAGGAAGTTGAAACTTTCCTAAGGGAAATAAATGGCTGAGGAGGGATTCAAACTCATTTGACGACCTGCAATACCAACCCTGCTAAAACCACCTCTAAGAACCTCCATAGACGCTTTGTGCGTGTAAGGTGCGTTCCGGTTCTTCCAATAATTCTCCGTTAAACTTCTTCGCCACACTCTTGCCTACAGTTCTCAGAGCGCCGCTTCGCCATTAAAAGCGTCCGGTCTCCATGGAGATCGGCGTGGGGCAGGACTTCCTGCTCTACGCGCAGGCACTTCCGCTTCGAGCCGGAAGCGCTGGAGTTAGCTGTGCTGGTGCGTGTGCTTGGGGCTTTCTTGGAGAGTTTGGATCGCCGAGACACTTTCGTGCGGCGCGGCGATGCTGACCCCCGCGTTCGACCTCAGCCAGGATTCCGACTTCCTGACCATTGCCATCCGCTTGCCCTACGCCCGGGTCTCGGAGTTCGACGTCTACTTCGAGGGGGTCGACTTCAAGTTCTACGCCAAGCCGTACTTTCTCAGGCGAGTTCCCGTGTCTGGCGGTGGGAGAGCGTTTGGCGGGAAATCATCATTCATTCATTCATGCATGCATATTGAGGGAGGATGAAAGAGCGAGGGAACAGTTCCCGTTTAACGGAGGTTGCTTCTTTGGGCAGTGACGGAGTGATCTCGCCAGGCGTGCGTCCCACCTGCTGCAGAAGCTCCTTCTTTTAAACCTTGAGCCCCAGGTTAAAGAGCTTTCGGAACCTCTTGGCAACGTCACGTCTAGACCGGGTCCTTTTGCAGCTTCTCTCTTTTTTTTTTTTTTTTTTTTTTTCTTCCGGTACCAGGAATTGAACTCACGACCTTGCGCTTGCCAGGCAGGCGCTGTGCCGCTGAGCTAAATCCCCAAACCTCACACTTTTTCAGCTTCTAGCCTGTCGCCAGTGTTCTCAATCCTTCCTGATCAATTGGTTTTTTTCTCCTGCCGCTCTGCGGTCGCGCTCCCAGCTTTTCCTCTCCTTGAGGACCGCGCGCGCTGACCTCCGCCACGACTTCTCTCCTTCCCAGTCCACCTTCTGTGTGCCGACCTCTGGGCTGCGTTCCCGTGGTTCCTAAGATTCTCACTCTCTCGTGCTTCCCTTGACAGAACTGCCTTCCCGCTGTCTGCTACTCCAGGGTTTTTTTTGTTTGTTTGTTTTGGTTTTTTGGTTTTTCTCCGGTACCGGGAATCGAACTCACAACCTTGAACTTGCCAGGCAGGCTATGTGCCGCTGAGCTAAATTCCCAGCCCCTTTCTCCAGGGTTTGGTTTAACTCCTGCAGTGTGGTTTTCACCGTCTCCGTGAGGATGGGCAGCATTTGTCTGTTGAGATCTTTCTCCTTGTAATAAGGACAGTATAGCACGAACGCAGGTCACCTTCAGTGTGGTGCACAAGTAAGCACCCTGATGTGCGCTATGTGCTCCTGTTATTTAAGTTTGACAGCAGTTTCTTTAGACTGCCACTACTCTTGGCCCCGTTCTACAGGGGCCTTTGCTAGGTTATTCTTCCTAAAGCATCCCCAATCCGCTTCCTTCCCTTTCTAAGTAAAAAAGAAAAATCCATTTTCTTAATTTTTCTCAGGAGTAGCACCAGCCTACGCTAAGTACTTTTGAAATTTTTATTTTTATTAGTACGTGTTTGCAGTGCATAGTGATTACATTTATTGTGGGGAGTTAGTACATGTTCTTAATTCTCTCTTCATCTCCTGTCCCTCCTCTTCTCCCTGCTCCTTCCGCCCCTTGATTCCCTTCCCATTTGCCAACCAAGTATGGTATGTACTGATTTCTTCACTGTGTCTGAGCTACCCTTAGACCCTAACTTAACCCACCAACTTGCATGTATAGTCGTAGAGAATTAACTAATGGCCAGCTTGCAGTACACGGCTGAACTGAATCAGCGTGGTTCAGGGTGTGGAAGGCCCACCTGAGGATTGCTGCTGACACCATGAAAGAAGAAGTGGAGGGGAAGATGGTGCACTGCTGATTCCCTCAGAGAAGCCTGTCATGCTGACTTTCCTAATATGAACTCAGCTGTTCTCATTCTTGGAGGAGCTCTCCCTCACTGTTGCTGAGGATGGCTACTGTTCTTCTTGGGAGACCTCTGGTCCTTACCTTGAGCTTCCCTTCCTGGCTCCAGTGCAGATCCCTCAACCTGCTAGCACAGATCCTTCATCCTGCTGGTGCAGACTTTCTAGCTTCTACCACTGACCTTTTGGCCTTCCCAGTGCAGATCCCTGATACAGACTTGCATGAGACATTGTCTCATGGGCTCTAGGCCTGCAGGTGGACTTATACAGGACATTGCTGTGGGATCCAGGCAATTGCAGCTGGATTCTTTGGGTTTCTAGTGGATGGACAGATCACTTGCACTTTTCTGCGTTTGACTTTTTGGGTGAATATTATAAAACAATCCTATAAATTCGGTGTCCTGTATTAAATCTATTCCCTTGCAAACCCTAACTACAACAACAGTAACCAACCCTTTTCGATGGGGGATATGTTCCAAGAGCTAACCCGTAGTGCAGTGATAGCAAACGTTTTAGAGCTTTCAATGATACAGACAGCCCTCTGCAGCATACCTGCCATAGGTTCACCACCACTGCAAGCGCATACCTGAAACCACAGATAGTATTGAACCTGGAATATGCTATATTTTTTCCATGCTTGCATAAAGTTAGTTTCTAAATTAGGCACAGTAAGAATTTAACAATAGTAAAATAGAACAGTTATAACAGTGCACAGTGCTAAAAGTCCTATGAATGTGAGCTCCTTATCTTTTAGAAATGTATCGTGTAGTGTATTCTTTGGACCTTGAGTAGGTAACTAAAATCACTGAAATGGTGAATAAAGGCAGACTATTGGACTGTTATTTACAGAAAGTTCTCAGTACCAGTTATCTGTTGCTATATAACCAATCAAACTTGATATAAAACAGCAACAGTGATTTTGTTATCTTCCCTGACTTCTGTGGACAAGGAATTTGGTAAGAGCGGGCTGTGGGGAACCACTCAGACTGCTTCAAAGCTCAGGGGCATCTAAGGACACCTGAGGATGTGACCCTGCTTGTCTAGTGCAGGTGCAAAGTGGGATACAGTTACGTAACCATGACTTGGCACAGCTAAACATGCATGCACTGGTTGTGGCACTATAGAAGAATGTAAATATGGGATAACAACCTGTGTAAGAATTATACAATAAAGACACAGCTGGCTCTTGCTCTTGGGCTCTCTGCTCTGTTCCATGCTACCTGCTTTTGTTGCTGATGTTTTGCACATGTGTTCTTTAACCTTGGGACCTCACCTGCGAAAATCTCTCTTGGGCTCCCTGAGCAGGCTGACACAGACAAATTCCTAGGTTCTCGTGGCTTAAAGATTCTAATGCCGCTGTGATAAAATGATGGCTAGACCTGGAATGTAAAACAAGGGCTGAAGTAGCTGGTTGGCCATCTTTCTTCATGTGGTCTGAGGGCCTAGCTATGTGGCCTTAAACCAGGAATGGTCTTACTATTATGCCCAGGCTGGTCTGAGCTTGTAGGCTCAAGTGATCTTTCTGCTTCAGCTTCCCAAATAGGTGAGACTCCAGGTGTGTGCCACTGTGCTTGGTCGCTGTGTAGTTTTCTAACTTTGTCTGTTTGTGTTTCTTTAGGCAAAGGTAGCGTGACAGCAGAGTGGCTGATGTTTTCAAAAGCAAGCAAGGCAGAATCCATGTCACCTTTTATGACCTAACTACAGAAAGCACAGAATTTCATTTCTGCTTTATGGCAGTGATTGAAACAAGCACCAGAAGCTGGTTGAATTTTAAGGGGTGGTGTCTCGGTTACTTTTTTCTCGCTGCTGGGACAAAATACCTGATGCCCAAAATTAAGGAAGGAAAGGTTTATTTCGCTTACAGTTCGTGGAGGTTTCACTCTGTACTTGGCAGATTATAAGGCACAGTGGCACATGGCAAAGAGCTGCAGCTCAGGACGGCAGAACACAGCTAAGCCGTAAGTACACACCAGGGCAGAATGGGGGAGGAAATGTCCCCAAGCACTCTTTTCCTCTCCCTTACATATGCAGACTTTCCACTCCTGGGCGGGTGCAGCTCTCACACCCATGTTCAAACTCTAATAGCCTGCCCCTCAAGCCTGGCTGCTTGAGGCTTTGGGGGGACACACAGATTCAAACGATAACAGGTGGGGACTCAGACTCCATGGTTGCCATTAGTGTTATGAGATAGCCATCTTTGAAAATACAATTTGCTGCTGTGTTCCAAAGATAAATAAAATCTGGACCCTCATCTTGATGAGTTGAGAACCTGTCTGGAAAGGCAGATCTATAAACATGATTAAATGAGTGACTGGTTGATTTCTTTCTCTTTTCCTTTTCTTTTCTCTGTCCTGTTCTGTTTTGTTTTAGTTTCTTTTCTGGGGGTTGAACCCAGGGTGTTCACACTGAGCTCCAGCACCATTTTTTTTTTTTCCAGACAGGGTCTCACTAAGTTACTGAGTTGCCCAGCTTGGACTTGAACTTGTGATCCTCCTATCTCTGCCTTCCAGAGTGCTTGGATTGTAGATGTGCACCACCACACCCAACTACAACTTTACTCTGACACAGTAAGAATTTAGTTCTGTACCTGCAAAGAATTTAGAAGAAAGGAATAATGATAGATCACATTTTCTGTCTTCTTACTTACTCTACCAGTAAGTCTGCATTCTTTTGTTCTAATAGTAACTGTCTGATAGGTCCTGTTATTTCCCCCGTTTTTTGCAAGGGAGGTATTATGATTCTTAATTAACTTGTCCAGAGGAAATTACAGAGCTAGTAAGTGGCAGAGTTAAGACAACATAGATTGGACACTAAAGTTAGTGTTTGTAGCTATTATAACAAACTGATTTATCCATAAAGTTATTCTTTATTTTGGGCTTAGAAGGGCACTTGGTTCTGAAAATGCACTGTATCTTGATCAAAGGCTGAAGACCTGAGTCCTTGGGGATCTGCTAGGTCTTTTGTTGTTAACTGTGTTCAGTGGAAACCAAGGAGGGACAAGGGAGGAAAAGAGGTTCAGACTTTAAGTCTGGACTGGTATGGAGTGGACCTGATAGGCCATATGGATGAGTTTATTTTGTTAATGCCAGGTGGCTGAGAGGATTTTTTATATAGAAGAGTGGCAGTCAGATTGCTGTTTTGGAAAAATTCTTTTGGGACCTCAGTGAGAGACTTACTGAAGCAGTACAAGTGAAAGCAGGGAAATCAGTTCATTTCCTTAAATATGAAAGGGGGAAATCCCCGTGTAGTAATAATGAGATTTGATTAAAAACTCTTGCTTTCTGCTTTTTTTTTTTTTTTTTTTTTTCTTTTTGGGACAGGGTCTCCCTGTGCAGTTCAGCCTGACCTCAAACTCACAGTGATCCTCATGTCTCAGCGTCCTGAGTGCTGGGATTACAGGCATATGCCCCCATGCCTGACATGCTTTTTTTTTTTTTTTTTTTAAGTAGTAATTTGCCTTATATAAGCAGTTGGCTTTATTTATTGTTTCCATTTTCTGACTTCTTTTAGAAGCCAGTTAGTGTACTTTTATTGAGCACCTGCTATGGAGGAACTAGATAAAAAATAAATAACTCTCCTATTCATTAAGGAGGAGAAGTACTATAGCAGTAGTGATAACTAGTATTTATTATGGATTTTCTTCATTCTCTGTTTTATTGGTGACTGGGGTACTCAGTAAGAAAGATGAGTCATCTCTAATTTTTCCTTTTTAGTTGAGAAAGGAATCATTTTTTCTATGAAATTTGAAAGAAATGCTGAAGAAGTTCCTTTTTTATCCTTGAAACTTACTATTAATGCATCAGTCAGTGTTTACTAGAGAAATAGATGTAACACAAGATACATAGATATGTAAGAATTTACAAGGTTGGCTTACAGTGGCCACCCAGAGTCGAATATGGAAGAGTGCTGGGGGTCTCTCTGTGCTGGACACTGAAGGTTTCAGTTGATGGTTTGGAGCTCACTGCAGTGGCCCATGTGAGTCTGTATCAGGAGGCCGATGGGTCTGAGATGCAAGGCTGAAAAGTGCATGCTGGAAGCCGAAGAGTCTGCACTGGAAGCCAGGAGGTGACGTCCAAGGTGGAGGCAAAAACTGGAGCTCGTCCAAAGAAAGTGAAACACATCCATAAGCAGATCCTTCTTCCTTCATTTCCCCTTTATACCATCCAGGTGACAAATGGGTTTTCCATACGCTATGGTGTGGAATTGCTGAGCCAGTTTAACTGAGCTTCTCTTATTCAAGTTGACACAGTCAGCCAGCCATGACAGTTAGCACATACTGATTATAAAGAATGGGTTTCACTGGGACATTTTCGTACATACATATAACATACTTTTATCATACCCTCTCCCCATCAAACCCTGCCTTTCCTCCCCTTCCCTTGTTCCCCTTCCTCTTTTTAAGTCTCCCTCTGCTTTCATCTCAAACCCCCTTCTCCATCCCACTCATGAGGGAAGACGTGTGCTACTTCTCCTTTGAGTCTGGCTTATTTTGCTTACCCTGATCCACAGTTCCCTCCATTTTCCTGCAAGTGACAGGAGTTTGTTTTTTAAGGACGGTCTTTTAGAGTGACTGATGGATTTTGGTGGGTAAATGCATACCGTTATTGGTGCCTATTTATGTTGCATTGTAATTTCAGTATTTCATGAGACCTTATTAAATTTTCAGGTTAACCCTTCCAGGAAGAATTGTAGAAAATGGAAGTGAGCAGGGGTCCTATGATGCAGATAAAGGTACCATCTTTAGAATTTTTTTTTTATTTTAAAGAGAAACTAACAAAAACAAATTAACAGACACAAAGACATAAGCAAAACAACACAAAAACAATAAAAATGATACAGAATTTCAAACAAGGTCATAGGAAATTAACAATGGTTGTTGTATTACATGTTGTTATCTTCAAATTGGTTTCTCAGGTAACCACATTTAGGGGCTGGGGCTGTAGCTCATTGGTAGAGTGCTTGCCTTGCATCTGTAGGATTTTTGATAGTTTTTTCTTTGGATTGTTCATGTTAGAATATCTATGTAAAAGTTTTTCAAGGTATTATGAAGACCTTTATGTGTCTTGCAATTGCAGCCTGCTCTATGACTGTTTTTTTGATGTCCACTGCCCGTTATTCATGGATTTTTGAACAATTATAATTTTCTCAGTCCTTTGAAGTATTTCACAATGTCCTTCAGTAAGGTTGAATTAAATCTTTGCTTCCATTTTCTAGAAGTACTTCCCCTACATTCCGTAGGTGTTTCAAAGTAAAAATTAGAATATGTAAGGTCATTGATTGTAGGAAGTGTGGGTGATTTATAAGCTTCTGAATGGAATCTTGTACAGTTTTCAAACTAGAATTTTAATAACAGCTAGATCCATGGTGACGTTTAAAGGCTAATTAAGTTTTCTTCTTATAATTGCTAAGTTTTAGCTAGGCATAAAACTTTTCCATCTCTAGAGTCCACTGGCTTTCCCTTTCCATCTCTAGAGTCCACTGGCTATCCCTCTTTGTCGATAGATCTGGAGTAAGAATGCCTTGTGTACTCTTGTGTGATTTACTCAGTGGCCATTTACTGACCCCAGTGAGATAGGATGAGGGAGACAGCATGGGATAAAAGAATTTGGTGATGCAGTTTTTACTCGTAATGCAGAGTAATTGATACGATAATGAAGTATAATGAGACTGCCATCCCGGCAGGTACATAATGCTTTTAATTACACATACATTACATATTGAAATGAAATTATTAAATTTTGAAAGTATGTGGAGTTTGGGGAGGTTGTGCATATGTAAGATTTTGGGTTGAGTTATATTTGATGTATTGGGATACAGTTCAGTTAGCATTTAAAATGTGTAAGAGTGGTAAATACTGTAGCGAGTTTGTAGGAATCTGAATAAGGCTGATAAAGCCAGTGAAGGGAAGAAGAGATGTGTATAGATAGAATTGCAGGGTGCTTTGTACAGACTCGGGGGAGATTTTCTCTTGAGACATCAAAGAAACTCTAGAAAGCCATAATTATTCAGTATTTTGTGTATGTTTAAAACTGCTGCAATGCTCTGTTGGATTTGATATCCTGATTTTCCCCGCAGCTCAGAAATGCATTTTATAAATAAGTTATTATCAGCCAGTTGTAAGCTGTTATCTTTTCAGGCCATTGATGTTTAGGTTTTAACGTGCATTTTAATATATCAGTAGGTTAAGGTGATAATAGGTAAGACTCAAGCATTCTGTAGCTTGAATAGGTTAGTTTCTTACAGAAGTAACAGCTTCTGAAAGCCCTATTTGAGCCTTTTTCTATCTTGATTTAAATCCACCTAATCTATAATAAGGGCATAATTTCAGAGCTCTCTGACATAGAATTAGATATTGCCAAGATAGATTTCTTAGCTATATTTGTGAAGTCTTTGAGTATTTTGATGTATCTAAGCATAAAAGAAGTTTATCTTTTAGGAATTTTTACCATTCGACTGCCCAAAGAAACTCCTGGCCAGCATTTTGAAGGGCTGAACATGTTAACTGCTCTTCTGGCACCAAGAAAATCCAGGACAGCTAAGCCACTTGTGGAAGAAATAGGTATGTTTATTGTGGTTGAAAGGAAATAAAAATAAAATTACTAGGAATGGTATGTGTTTTTAGAGGAAAGAGACTTGGTGAATAGGACTCCGAAGAAAATACTACAGATGACAAGATAAGATGGTCATGTGAAGATAGCTCATTATAATTAAATTATATATATTGTGTATAATTATATATATTATGTATATTAAATTATAGTTAAAAAGCATAAGTAGCCCTAGTGAACCAGTAGCTTAACCACATTTTTGGGCCAATTAAAATTCTTGTCTTTGGCAAAATATTATCCTTTTGCACTTAGATCAGACGTGTACAATTCAAAGAGTTAAATAATGTGAACATCAGTAGGTCACAAACCCGGATTTTTATTTCCAGCACCCTGGACATCCCACCTGTGTCTTTTCCCAGTTACTTTGCCCTTTCTCTTGGAGGTCACCACCACCCTCCCTTTTGTCTGTGTTCTTTTCTGTCTGGCTTCCTGCCCTCAGCAGTACTTTTGTGAGGTTTATCCACGCTGTAGCAGAAGCCCATCTGCCTCCACCACTGTCTGATATTCTACTGTAGGAACCGCTTACAGTCAGTTGGTTCCTGCTCCTGGTGAACATTTGTGCTGGTTCCGGTTGTTGGCTGTCAGGAGTAGTGGAGCTGTGAGTGTCCTGTACGGGTCTTTCGTGCACATGTGCAGGCCCGTCCTCCTGTGCTTGTTCTTCTCTGCGTTGTCCCTAGGAAATTCAGTGCCTTTCTAAAACAGAAAATACTTAACACATTTAGGTGCCTCTGAAGTTTCCAAGGAAGTGGTAGAAGATGACGATGAAGAGTTTGACTGGGAAATTGAACAGACTCCCTACGAGGAGGCATCTGAAAGCGCGTTGAATCCACAGTGCCACTATGGATTTGGGAACTTGCGGTCAGGAGTGTTCCAGCGATTGCAGGTATGTTGTGCTTCTGAAAGAGCTTGGGTATTTCAGTTTTAATTTCGCTTATACTGGGTGGTTATTCCTAAAAGTTACAGAAGGTGACATATTTAGAGCATACAGCACAGCTCCTTGTGCATAAACATCCCACAGATGTTCATTCCTTTCTATTTTGTTGGCTGTTCTGCTCAGACACCGTGTTCTTACAGGTGCTCTCTGGTCTGTCTCCGCTTCAGTCAGTACTCTGGATGTGAAGTTGCCAAAGTACAAAGCAAAACCAACCCTCTCCTCGTGCTTTCTGAAAAGCTTTATACTTCTGAGAAATGGAGCTCCTGTATTTACCACTTCTTTTTTAATTATAAATGAGACAGAATTTTCTAGTGAGATTGAAATTGTGTGTTTTATCAAATTGTTCAGTTCTTAGTATTCAGCAGGTCTCTTCATTCTTAACAAAAGTCAGATGAAGGTCTCATCTGAATACTGCTCAAGACAATTTCAAATTTTGGAACATTTTGGATGTTAGATTTTCCGATTAGAGTTACTCAATCTGTAATAAGATATAAAGACATTCTTTGTTTAGTGACCAAGCTCCGTTCCTGCAACTAGGTCGTAAATGTGGACTTGTATATAGTATGTACGTTATAATATTCAGAGCAAAGAAATGGTCAAAGGAGACTGCAATTTGATAACTTTGCTTTTATTTGTGGAACTCATACATGCTGTACTGTAATGTCTAACAATATAAAACTACAGTACCGTCCTATACGGAGCAGTCAGTGAAAATTACAGTACTATGTAAATAAGGTGTACTGTACAAAGAAAAGATACTGATGCTTTATAAACAAGATACACAGAACCATGCAAAAAAGAAAAGATGGGTCATAAGTCGATCAGTCATTAAACAGGTAGGTCCTTAAATGCGGAATATCTGTATTTGAATCTTTCAAGGAAAGGCAAAGGATCTAAGTTCTGGTTCCGGTTCTACCTGTGTTTAGATTTGAGACACTATGTTAATTGTAAATTTTGTTTTTTCTTTGTAATGTGGGGATACATTTGTTTATCTACTTTATGAGTCTGTTTTGAAAATTTAAGATGATACCGCATGGGAAGGCAGTGAAATATAGAATCCTATAAAGATCCCTGCCCTTCAAAAGCACAAAATGTTCTCAAGATTTCTAACAGGAAAACATTGGGATTTACTTAAGAGCAAGTAATGCTGGCGAAGTATCTCCTTCCAAAAGCTTGACGTCTTTCTGCTGCGTTGTCTCCTGCCTGTGTTCCCTCTGCCTGCTGACATTCCCTGGTGAACTCCGAGGTAGTCAGAACATTGAGCTTTGTCTGCAACAGGAGCTACAGCGAGTAGATCTCGGTTGTTTAGCCAAAAGCTGGTATGTGTCTGTCTGTTTGGGATTTGCCAGGCCACAGCTGGAAATGAATCAAGACTATCGTAAATGTGACCCAGGCTGAGTACAGATTGTATACCCAGGTTAACAGTGCTTTCTGAGGCCAGGGAACTTGACACCTGCATTCCTGCTGCTGTTTAGGGGAGATAGTGGTTTCAGGGGTTCCTGACAGTGTGGCGTGGATGCTGGAGCCCAGTAACAGGAGCCGAGGCTGGGTCTCTTTTAAGTCAAGTTCTCGCATCTGTGGAAAGATACACTTAAGAAACTTATATTGAGTTTAGAAGAATGTCGCTATAAAATATTCTTTTCTTTAAACTCGTATTTTAAAAAGCCGGTCGTGGTGGCTCACAGCTGTAATCCCAGCAGTCGTGAGACTGAAGCAGGAGGATTGCTGTGAGTTCAAGGGCAGCCTCGGCTACAAAGTGAGTTCAAGCCCAGTCTGAAGTATATAGTGAGACCCTGTCTCAAAAAGACAAAAAATAAAGTACATATTAATGGAATAAAATTGATGTTTCAATACATGTGTATATGAAATATTCTTTATGTCTTTTTGAATGGCTTAACTAATATATCAAATGCCTAAATTCCTATCACCCAGCTGAAAAAATGAAACAAAGTCTTCATATCTTAAATAAATGAGCACTGCTTTTCTAAGAATATGAATGCATATCCTTTAAACCTAGGACAAAGAAAGCTGTGCATGAGAATGAACTCTTAAGTGTTTTGTAATGGAAGTAGAGTATAATGCTAGTCGTGGAGACTTATAGCCCCTTGTATGGAATACTGGGACCCCTAAAAAGTGCTGAAAACTGGAAGATTTAAAAATATTTAACCTGGTAGCAAAACCATATCTAAATCAATGTAAGTTTTTAATGATTAGATTTTCAATATGCGCTTAGTGTTAATATTCAGAGTTTTTGCTGTAGAAATAGTAATGTATTTGGGTATTAGGTGCTACCTGAAAATTCTTAGGTATGCATATATCATATTACCTTTCTAAACTCTGGATCCTGAAGTTTACATGCTCCCGGGAATTGGGACGGCACTACCATACATCATGGCACCGTTACTGAGATGTATTCATGTGACCAGCAGACAAATCGATGCATGTGTGTAGTCCTTAAATAAAGTTGTATTTTCTTACATGAATTAAATTTGAGGGATACAGTGTCTTTCTTGATAAATAGGAAATAACCATGCTTTGAAAAATCAACCAGGATGCCAAGAGTTCAGAGTAGTCTTTTCAAAATATTAAGGTAGATACATTTTATGAAATACTGCCATAAAACTTATGTCATTGGTATTACTTGTGAAGTTCTTCTGCATTTACAGCTATTCTGTCTGTGACAGTAATACTAGATGGTTAAAATAAAAAAGGTGTGGGGCTCGGTGTGAGGGCCCTTGGTTCAGTCCCCATATGGGGTGTCTGTTTTCTCAGATAGTGTTTCTTGTTTTCTCTGTTTAGTTTCTCTAGTTCTGCCTTTGGATGAGAAAATAATCTATAAAGTTTTGTTCACTACTCATATTTTAGCAGTGCTTTTACAGCCTCAACCCCACCTTAAATGGAAAATGGTTTTATTTTTTGAAAGATAAAATATAGATTTTTTTTGTTGTCTTTTTGAGACAGGGTCTTGCTATGTAGTTCCGACTGGCCTTGAGCTCACTTTCTAGCACAGGCTGGTCTCAAACTTGTAATGATCCTCCTGCCTCAGCCTCCCAAGTGCTGGGACTACAGGCATGCGCCACCATTGCCTGACTATAGATTCTTTATAAATTCAAAAGAAAGTCAAAAGTCATCCATAATTCCAACATCCAGGTATTTTGTCTTCATTGAATAGTATGACCTTCCAAAAGAATAATAATAAATGGATCAAAAATGATTAGGGTATGTTACATACATGTACCAATTCCCCAAAATAAGCGGAACTATTCCAAACATACACTAATAAAAAATGGGATAGGTAGTCTTTTCTACTTTTTCTCCCTGTAGCCTTTTAAACAGGCCTGTGAACTTCTGTATTGTATGCTGGAGACAATGAAAATGTCTTCGCAGAAATGGCTTTTTCAATCCCTCCCTCTGTGCACATGTAGACACAACCCCTTTTTTTTCTGAAATTGCTGCCAACTGGCAGGGCACCTTTGGAAAACTGCCCTGGCTGCCGAAAGTCAGGGCTGCACAACAAGCCTTGGCTCCGGCGGCTGCCAGCAGCCACGATCCGAGTCTCTGGGTGCCAACCCGGCAAGCTCCTGGGACCCCCGCTGCCAGCAGCTGCGGGATGCCAGGCTTGCTGGCCCTCCGCTTCCCTTGGCTGCTCCGGGACGGGAGGCCTTTGTTTCCAGCATACACACTGGCCAGATGTGCGCACAATTCTTCATTTTCTGTCTGGATTAGCTCTGCTTTATCTATGGCTAAACATACATAAGCCAGACTTGGGTCCTCCATGACCTTGGCTTGGCAGTACCCATCTTTAAATAAAGAGCTAAGATGGCTGTGACCGTAGCGGTTCTTCCAAAAAAGAAGGAAGTCTTTTTTTCCTTCTGTGCTTTAACATTCTCCTCTTCTGCTTTCCCTTTGGTTGACTGATGCCTTAGACTTACAGATTCCAAACTAACGTTGCCTTTTGTTTTGCCTGAGTTTGTTTGGAGGGCTCCGTGTGGGCAGGTCCCGGGTGCGACTGCGTGTAGAGGAGGCCCGCGCAGGGTTGTGCCGCGGTGAACAGTCCTGTAGCACGACTGTACGTGGAGGCCCAAAGTTGGGAGACCAGAGGAGAGAGGGAGGGGAAGGAAGGAGAGCTACTTTCTCATCGGTCAGTTTTCATTGCAGTAAGTGCAAGGACCTTTGTATGTATTTGTTACTCAGCTGCCCCTCCAGCACCCAGAACAGTGCCCAGTCCATAGCAGGCCCTCACGTTCTGTTTGCTGATGAACAGTTTAGTCCCGAAAACTGGGCTCAGTGGAAAGAAGGTGGACCAGACTCCTGCTTTCCAGGAGCTTCTAACAGGGAGACAGACAGTAATCCTGCAGACAACAAGTAAGTGACAGCTGGTGACAAGGGAAGGGAAGGATGAGGTGCCATGACAAACGGAGAGGGTACTGCCAGGCCTAGAACGCTCAGAGATGGCCATTTTGAGGACAGGACGGACTGAGTTACGCATGATGAGATCTGGCACTGTCAGTGCAAAGGCTCAGAGGGAGTCTGAATCGGGGCGTTTCGGGATGGAAGGAGTCTCGCGGCGACTTGAGCATACTGGAGTCGGGAAGGAAAGGGTGACGGGATTGAAAGGCAAGACAGCGGCTGCAGAACTGTACTAACAGTCTGTTTATTCTCAGTGCTGTTAGGGTTTTGAAGGCTTGTGGTTATGTGAGTCTTTGTATTCTCTGAAATGTAAAATTATCTACCAAGACTCATTAGTTATACTTTATTTATGACCTCACCTCTGGCCCAGGTGAAATAATAGGGTGGAACATTTAAATTTCTACCTTCCCTTTTTAACTGCCCCTAACAAGCGAGGAAAGAGAAACAGGGAAGAAAGCCAAGGAATACCAGGGAGCGGCAGTCCTGCACAGTTCTGATGGAGAGAATTAAGACCAAATGGTATCCTAGGCGGTTTTCCTAATACACACGTATTCTTTAGGATTCTGCTTAGAAAACATGCTGTACATTAATATGTGTATATCTCAGTACAGTCAATTAAAGTTGAATTTTTCAAATGGAAAGCTATGTACATCAGAATTGCCCCCAAAACTCTTTACTCACCAAGTAGGATGTGTGGCTTTGCATGTATATATGTCTTATATGGTAATTGAGACTTGCCTATAGGAAGAGCTTGACTAGGAAGAAAAAGTGTATGGTAAATGTGTGATCTTCAAACTGCTCTACCTTCATTAGCTTTCAGGTCTTTAGGGGGAAATGGATGGAGAATTAAGTGTGTTGCTTGCTTACAGGGTTTATTCCATTCTGCTTTTTATGTAAAACTTCTATAACCTTAGTATTTGTTAATCAGGTAGTTTGTTGTAAGGATTAAATGAGATAATCTATGTGAAGGTTGCTAACAGTGGTGGTGAACCTTTTTTAGACCTTTCAGTGATACAGTAGCTTAATAAGCAATTCCTTGTTTTGAATCTAAATGTCACAGGTGGTAGGATGGCTTACTGACCAATTAGGTTCTTCCTGTGCTTTGACTTTTTTTTTCCTGTTGGCCAAGTTTGAGTTTTAAATGCCAAAAATAGGTAGCAATTATTCTTTCTTTTTCTGGGCATGCCTAGGATGAATTGAGTGAAGTTACTGACATTAAGAATCCAGATTTCACCCCTGCAGCTGAACGAAGGCAGAAACGTCTCGCTGCTGAGCTGGCCAAATTTGATCCTGATCATTATCTGTGAGTATTGGGGTTTTTGAGGGTTGAGTGATTTACTTGACATTTATTGAAAAAAGTTGTGTCTTTAACTATACTGGGCGTGTGCATTCTGGATCTTAGAAATGAAGGACGGCTCAAAACCCTGATGATGTTTGCGGTAACTTGTGAGCGTGGTGCTTCTGTGATCTTGGTATCGCTTCCCAGTTGTTCAGCCAAGAGCAGAGACCTTGTCTAATGTCCTTTTTTAATTTCTTTCTCACCAGGCTTAGAAACAAGACTAAATTTGTGAGATTACTTACACTTTTTTAAAGTAGGCTTTTTTTGGTAATTAATGGTATACATAAATGGAAGAATGTCACAGTTTCCTAAGATTTTGAATCTGCATGTGCCTTATTTCTGCTGATCCAGGAACTTCTCACACTTTCATACACTTGCACCTATAATCAGCGATATGTTTCAAATGAAATAATTATCCTGTGGGGTAGATTATATTTAGAATCCAATTTTGAGTTTTGCTGTATTTCCCCTTTGCATTAATTATGTCTTTAGTTAGAATGTGTCTCGGTGAGGGTTATATGTGCATAAGTACCTTATCTAATTAATCTCTTTCTTGAGAGATTGTGGTCTCTCTCCCTGGCTGTGACAGCAGCACTTCTTCACATTGTTGCCTGGCCTGTCTGGGTACATGGCCCTCGCGTAGGATGTGTGGAGAATGGGTGTTGAATATTAGTGTAGACATCACTTCTTATTCGTCCCCAGCTCTGGGCCAGTACTTTCCAAACTGTTCTACATGCATCTATAGTCATCACTTCTTCTGTTTGTCCAGTGCTTTCAGCTCATGCTCTCATGTGATTAATTGAGTTTGTACAAGAGGTGAGGAAAGGAGGTTAAGGGACTTGACCAAGGTCACTCTACTACAAAGTGACCTGGCCAGGACTTGAAAAGAGTCTCCACTTGTCATTTTGTATTTTTATTTTTATGTACACTGTTTCAGTTTAACTACTGTTACTCTTGCGATTAACATTCTGTCTCCTGTGACACAGTGGGGTACTAATTGGAAGGCAGAAATACGTCTTGTGATGTGCAAATGGAATGAGCGATGTGTAATGATAAATGGTTGAAGTGTTCAGCATCCTGAGGGAAGCTGGCTGTAAGCGGGGTCTGGTACATTCTGGAGGACATCTGAGAGATTCAGCTCCGTTTGCATTGCCAATTCTAATTACCTTTATCTGTCCAATTGTGATTTTAAAGGTCCACTGAAGAGTAATTTGAAGAAACCCATTTAAAATCAGCTGAATATTTAAAGTGGAAATTTTACCATCAGCAAATTTCTCAGTCTGCCATGAAAACAGAATGATCTTTACAACACTGAAAATTCGAGAGGGAGGGAGCTTAATTAGAAGAACTGTCTATTGCTTCTGAAACTAGAAGAATACATCTATGGCCTGAGAGAATTAGGAAATTGAAATTTGTAGCTGGCAGTATAATATTATAACAGCCCTTACTTTCTTCTGTCTTTTGTATTTCTTTATCAGCAACTCAGTTTCTTTAATAGTGTGCGTGGAATATGCTTGCTGTTGTTCCAGGAGTAGTTCTTCACGGGAGTGGCTTAAAGTTAGTCGTGGTCTAGGTCAGGAGAGCAGGTTCTTGGTGACTTTTCTGTTGGAAAGAAAACTTTGGTTAATTGTAGTTTTTATGGAACCCATTAAGTTATATCCCCACTCCTTTAGATTTTTTTTTTATTTTAAGGTAAATTCTCACTAAGTTGTCCAGGGGAGCCTTGAACTTGTAATCCTCCTGCTTCAACCCCTAGAGTAGCTGGCGTGTGCTACCGTGCTGGGCTATTACTCATTATTTATATTAGCTGACTGACACCAAATGTATTAGTATTAGACGAGGCACAAATTTAAATTTTTAATAAAATTATTTTGTAGGTCAGTGCTTCTTTAATTAGTGGTTAGCACAGTGGAAAAAAACTCACTTTAAATTCTTTATAATCTATCATGCAGGTAATCCATATAACTTATTAAACATTTACATGTGTACATGCAATATTCATATGTAATACTAATATATATACTAATATATATTACATTAGTGTAATATGTCCCCTATCTTTAAGTTGTTGCTGTGTTTACAAATTGTTAATCTTGGGCCGGGGATATAGCTCAGTGGCATAAGTGCCTGCATGGCAGGCGCAGGGTCCTGAGTTTGATTCCCGGTACCAACAAAACAAAACAATACAAATTGGTAATCTCATGTCAGATTTTTTGGGACTTGATGAATACTAATTTTGATTTCATCCTAAGCAGACCACCGTGAAGTACATTGGTTGTAAAGAGAGGTTTATACATTTGACTGCAAATATAATAGACTTTAGATTATTACTGTTTTAGAAATCTTTTATGATAAAACAATATAAATGTGATGTAATTTATTTTATTTTGTTTTGCTATGTTTTGTAGCCCAGCATAAGGCTAGGCATGTAATAGATGACTCATAAATATTTATTGTTTTAATTATCTATTTCTTGTGATTTATAAGTCCTTTGGGATATTTTTACACTAAAATATGTTGACAACATCTTGAAGCATTCCTTTGTAATTGTTCTTTTTTTTTTATAGCCAGGTTTTCGTGTTTCTCTGAGAGTGTTGGCTTATTTCCTTTCCCAGTTTTTAAAAATTAGCTAATTCATAAGTATTTGCCTATTAGGAGAGAGCAGAATTTAATCATCACTGTGACATTCTGTGAGATAAGAAAAGGTACAAAATGATCAGATCCCTTTGGGATTCCATTTTAAATTGTGATTCTTTTTCATTATTCTATATTTATTATAGAAGATGGTATATTGATATTGATCAGACTTGGATGTATTGAGTAATCTCAAGACAGAAGTTAAAAAAAAAAAGACAGAAGTAGTAATTGGGAGACTGGGAGGAGGATCACATGCTTCAAGGTGCCTTTTTATTTAAAACACCAAGCACAGGCAAAAAGCATTAGAATAAAATACCACAGAATCATTTTTTTGGTTTATGCATTTGTTCAACTAGTATTTGCCTGAATGAACCACGTGCTGGGTGGTGCTTGGATACCAAGGTGTGTGTCCGATCTCCACATTCCCAAGGCTTCTGCACTAGTCGGGGATGTGGGTAATATTTCTGTTGTGATAAGGCCTGTGAAGGAAAAGGAGATTGAAGGTTTAGAGAGTGGCTGGGTGTCCCACGAGCTCCTCTATTTCAGCAGGTCCAAAATTGAACTCATCATTTTCCTTCTAATGTTGTCCTGAATTTTCTCGTTCGGTTGAGTGCCCCATTTTTCTCCCCAGTCACCTAGGTTAAATGCAGAGATTCATCTTTGACATCTTTCTTATCCCACACATTCAGTCAGTCTAAAGTTGTACCATTTATCTCTGTATTACTTCTTTCACTCCATCTGTTTCTGGCCGTCATCTGGGTCTGGCTTATTGTAGCCCTCTCCTCACTGCCCAGCTGGCATCTCTCCTGCCAGTTTGAACTTCAGCCATAAAGCCACCAGCATGGTGGCTGATGCTCATACTTGGTGCTCTTTTGCTTAAATCATAAGCCTCTCATTCCTTAGCATGATGTAGAAAGTTCTGCGATCTGGACCTGGCCTGTCTCTGTTGCTTCACTTTTGTCATTCCTGCCCATGCTTTATACTGTGACATTAATGAAAATCTGCATTTCCCTGTCTGCACCCTGCTGCTTTACTTCTGGTGTCCCTTTGCCAGCTAGCTCTTCCCTGAGTACATTTTACTTATTCTTTGAGACTAAGTGCATCGTCCTCACAGACCCTGCTCTGTGTTCCCCTGGTGGAGCTTGTGGTGTTTTTACCACTTTTTCTTACAATGGGTTTTTTTTTTTTTTTGGTCTTTTTTTGAGACAGGGTCTCGCTATGCAGTTCAGGCTGGTCTTGAGCTCACTTTGTAGCCTTGGCTGGTCTCGAACTCGCAAGGGTCCTCCTGCGTCAGCCTCCCGAATGCTGGGATTACAGGCGTGCACCACCACGCCCAGCCATTGTGTCTTTTTGTGGCATATTTCAGCCAGTGTCTTGACCATGATTTGTTTTTGTTTTTATCCTTTTGAGACAGGGTTTCACTGTGCAATTCAACCTGGCCTTGTACTCACTTTGCAGCCCAGGCTGACCTCAAACTCACAGCCACCACGCCTGGCAATGTGATTAGCTCTTAGTTGGCTATTGGCCTGTATGATTTCTTCCAGGGTCCTTACCTGTTGCCATCCCAACTGCATTTTTCCATGGGATCTTACACTGTTGTGTCATAGCATTATGTTGTATGTAAGGACTTGACTCTCGCATGGGACTGTCAGGTAGTAGAGGCCAGGCCAGTCTGTGTTTTGTGACACTCTGGCCTAACAGAGTTGGGAACATGGTACAAAGTTCAGACGTGTTGCGTGAATGATTTCTTTAGCTTTTCAGCCATTTACTTCCATTGCTTATTTTGTTTGAAATTCATTTCCTAGAAAAAGCTCTGATTTGTGGATGAATCTATAGTAGAAACTCAATTCAGAGTTTACCTTCACTTTAAGAAAAAGAGATAGCAATAGTTTAAAAAGCAACTAATTTATCCTAGTCATGTATACCTTGCATACCTGACAAAAATGAATATTAAAATTTCCATTTCAAGGTATTAGCTGTTTGCAAAGTACGTATTTTATTTCCTCATGCATAAAAATGAAATAGTTGTGTAAAGAGCTTGGATTCTGGAGCTGGGTGTGGTGACACATGCCTCTAATCCAGTTAGCTGTCCAGGAGGTTGAAACAGGAGGTCTAAGCCTGGGCAATTTAGTGAGATCCTATCTAAAGTGAAATAAAAAGTGGCTGGAGGTATAGCTCAGTGATAGAGTGGTTGCCTGGCATGCATGAGGTGGTGGGTTCCATCTCTAGCATCAGCCAATCAGTTAATATGAAAATAAAATGGAAGAGCTTGGCTTGTGGAATAAGGCTTAAGTGGTTCCACATCTAGGCCGCACTTTGTGAATCTCAGGACTTGGCCAAGATACATTAAAATGAGGATTTTAATCATACTGCCCGGGGTGGGAGAGAGGCCTGGGGAAGGGGAAGAAAAATATTAAGATGTGTTATGTACGTGTGCTGACTCTTCATGAGGAATGTAATCATTATGTACTACAGACATGTATTAATAAAACAAAAATTTAAAAAAATTTACACTTTATAATTCTAAAAAAAATCCTAGCGGCAGGATGAGAAGTCAGGAAGCTAGAAGAGATGCAAAACACTTAGTGCAGTGTCTGGAGCAATGAACCCAGCAAGTTATCTTTGATTTTTCTAATTTGAAAAAGATTTCAGTATTTCAGGTGAAAGAAGAAAAAGTAAAGTCGTAGAAGTATCAGCTAGAAAATTCAACTTGTCAAAGCAACCAGTTTCTGAGATTCCAGTTAACGGAGGTACAAATGAAGTTTTTCACCCTGAGTTGTACTTTTTTCATGCTTTTTTCCAAGAATACCAATTTCCAGTCTTGAACACAAAATAGTGAAATTTCTGAGTATTTGTCCTCCTAGAGTGAGAGGTATAGTTTGAGTAAATTAAAACTGAGTGAAACTGAGAAACATGTTTCCTGTTCTTTCCAAAGGATGCTTTTATCTTTTACAGTAGTTTAAGATCAAGAAACTCTGAAGATTAGCATAGCTAAATGAAATAACTTTTGTCTTAATGTAAGTAGTGGTACACATGCTAAAGAATGGTCTCTGTGTGTGTGTGTGTGTGTGTGTGTGTGTGTGTGTGTGTGTGTTTGTGTTAGTGTAGTCTTTTTTTAGCTCCTTTTGGTGATGCAGTATCCTGAATTTCCTGGTCATTTATTTTTCTCCAGTGGTGGATTTTCAAGATTTTGCCTTTATTGTAACCTTAGCAAAATCAGTGGTACTAGCAAATGTCATACAAGTGCTAGGTTTCAGTTAAGTGTGTGTTCAGAGTCAACTCACTCGTTCCACACCACTAACTATAAGATGGGACCTCAGGATAAGACTGGTTTTTTATGTACCCTCTATCTAAAGAGATCACAAATGTCGGATACCCCTCTTTCATTACATGATGCCTCTTGTTTTATGGTGATTAGTAATCACAAAGAAAGTAAACAGTGCTCAGACTTTCCTGGAACTGTACTTTGATTCATAATCTCTATGTTTCGTGTTAATGTGCTGAGTTAAGATAAAGTTTTAAAAAATGAGAGCCAGACTAATCCGGTGTAACAAACCCATGCACTGTTTTTTGCTTCAGAGCTGACTTATTTGAAAATGAGGCAGTTGAACAGCTTTTGAAGTACAGTCCTTGGTGGAATGATACATATTCTGAAATGATGGCCTCCTTGGAAGATAGTCAGGAGCAAGAAAACCACGCTGTATTAGGTAAGAAGCTCAGAATTAGGTTCATTTATTTAATTGTGAAATCTCATGGTGTACCAAGTTTACTGCCTTCCCTATTGTTAAGCATATGATTTGAATTGCCTCACAACATGAACATATAATTTGGATCACTACTTTTGGAAATAAATTCTTCATCCTCGACTGAAGAACACTAAATTATTTGACTTTTTGAGTTGGAAAATAGACATACATACATATATATATTTGGCTAGGAAATAATGTATTAATCGATCTTTTTCAATTTTTATATTTTACTACTACACGTTGTTGGCAGTATATAGTGGTCACATTGGTTGTAGGGATTTTGTGCATGTACATAACACGTCTCAATTCTTACTTCATCCCCCTCTTCTTCCCCCCACCTTTCCCACCACTTGTCCGCTTCCTTGTTTGTAAAAGCTCTATCTCCCTGCTTCCCATTATCTTTTTTTTGCTATTTACTTGTATTACGTAAGCTTATGCATCTGATTTATTTCACTTAACATTATGGCCTCGGGGTGTATCCACTTTTGTTCTTTTGAAGTACACTTTCTTTTAGAACAATTGGAATCCTTTTAGCATTTTTTATTTATTTATTTTTGGTAAATTTAGGGATACTAACACACAGGGCATTTGTAGTTGTTGAATAATCTTCTTGAGAGGGATGACCATGCTGCTATGGTAAGGACATTGGAGTGTCAGTGTTGGTGGGAAAAGAGCAGCTCTCTTTGCCTGTCGCTGATGAATGAATTTGATATGGCCTTTCCAGTTTTTTTACAAGCAGTTTTATGAAGAAGCGAGACTAAGCTGTCTTCATATCCGTGCCTTCCAGAGAATGGGTTGGCCAGCTTGTCCCAGTGAAAACTAAGCCTGAGGATTTCATGAGCCGCAAGGAATGACTGGGCCCTATTTTACAGTAAGGGTCTTTTTTTGAGTACATGCACTATTACCACCTTCCTTAAGTGTCGGGTGGGGCCTTAAGTCACACTCATTTCAGCGTGATCGGAAATACAAGTCCTGTGTTAACGCAGTGATTTGACTTTTGTTTATTTAATAAAAAATAAAATTTCACTGTTTAAATGAAAAGAATACATACACAAACACATTCTAAAGAATATTAAGTGAAACAGACTCTTCTTATCCCAAGTCCTCCTTCTTAAAAGTAACCATTGTTAATAATTTGGGGTTTTTAAAAGATTATTTTATTTTATTTTAAAAGGAATTAAAAAAACAATAACAGTACCAACAACATAGACAAAAACAAAGCAACACAAAAACAATAAAAATGATACAAAGTTTCAAAACAAATGATAGGAATTAACCGTGATTGTTATATTACATATTGGTATCTTCAGTGAAGTTGCTGAGATTGCCAGATATAAGAAAGCAAGATTGATCAAACCATTAAAGAGAATAAAAAATAATAAAAAACATTAGAAATAATACAGAGCTTCACTAAAAAAGATGGTAGGAATTCACAATGGTTGTTATATTGCATATTGTTGTCTTCAAATTAGTAGTTTAGATTACCAGATATAAGCATGCAAAATTGGTCAAAAAAATTTAAGCATTAACTGTTCCTTTCAGTAAACCATTAGACATCAGCAGTACAATTATCCCAACTATCCTTATATATACATATATATCTAATTTATTTATTTTTCCTTCTTTCTTCTCCTTTCCCTCATCCCAGTTGTTTTTTCCTTTTCAGCAATTTCCTTCCCTTTCACAATATCTGTTGTACCTTTTGGATTTTATTTACTCTTTCAGGTTCTTACACTAGGGAGACAATACGATGTTTACACATGTGGGTCTGATTTATTTCACTTAGGAGTATGGTCTCTAGTTGCATCCACTTACCTATAAACGCCTTGAGTTTATCCTTTTTTATAGTTGAGTTATACTCTGTTGTATAAAAATACCATCTCTTTTATTCATTCCTCAGTTGATGGGCATTTGGATTGTTTCCAAGATTTAGCTGTGACAAATTGTGCTGCTATATACATGGGTGCACATATATTGCTGTAGTAGGATGTTTTAAATTCTTCTGGGGAACTACCCAGAAGGGGAATACCTGGGTTAAGTGAGACCTCTAATCCTAGTTTTGTGAGGAATCTCCACACTGATTTCCACAGCGGTTTCGCCAGTCTACACTCCCACCAATAGTGGAGAAGAGTTCCTTTTTCCCCACTGCCCCTCTAGCATTTGTTATTGGTTGATTTCTTAATGATAGCCATTCTTTCTGGGGTGAGATGGAATCTCAGTGTTGTTTTAACTTGCATTTCTCAGGTGACAAATGATGTTGAACATTTTTTCATTATTTGCTGTTTCTATTTCTTCATCTGAGAAGTATGTATTCACCTCAGATGCTCATTTTTGTATTGGGTCTTTGAATTTTGGGGGTCTGAGGTTTTTAATTCTTTATACGTTCTAGATAGAAGTTCTTTGTCTGAGGGACAGTTGGCTAAAATTTTTTCCCAATTTGTGGATTTTCTTTCCACCCTGTTGGTGATTTCTTTTGATGTGCAAAAACTTTTCAGTAAGGTGATAATCCCAGGTGTTGATTCCTTGAAGTATTTCCCATGCAGTTTGGTTTTTGTTCATGAACTCTCTGCCTACCCCTATGTCTTCAAGAATTCTACATACTTTCTCTTCTAGTAGATTTAGTGTTTCTGTTTTAATATTTAGATCTTTGGTCCATTTTGATTTTAGTTTAGTGCATGGTGATAGACATGGGTCTAGTTTTAGTCTTCGGCATGTGGAAAGCCAGTTTTTCTAGCACGGTTTATTAAAGAGGCTATCTTTCTTCCAGTGAACATGTTTGGCCCCTTTGTCAAAGATAAGGTGGCTGAGTATGTTTGTAGTTGTGTCTGCATCTTCTAATCTGTTCCATTGATCTTCAGGTCTCTTCTTTTGCCACTATCATGCTGATTTTATCACAGTAGCTTTGTAGTGTAAATTCAAGTCAGGAATTGTGATGCCTCCTGTCTTTCCTTTGTTGCCCAGGATTGCTTTTGCTATTCTAGGCCTCTTTTGGTTCCAGATGAATTCTAGCAATGTTTTCTTTAGATATGTGAGGTATACCAGTGGTACTTTAATTGGGATTGCATTGAATACATACAACAATTTTCGGGGTATGGCTCTTTTCACAATGTTGGTTCTCCCTAACCATGAGCAAGGGATATGTTTCCATTTTCTGAAATCCTCTTTGATCTCTTTTTTCAGAGTACTGTAATTTTCACTGTATAGATCTTTTACTTCCTTTGTTAGATTGATTCCTAAGGATTTCAGTTTTTTAGATGATATTATGAAAGATGTGGTTTCCATAATTTCTCTCTCAGTCTGTTCGATGTTTGTATACAGGAATGCTATTGACTTTTGAGCGTTCACTTTGTATCTAGTATGCTAGTGAATTTGGTTAAGTCTATGAGTCTTTTGGTGGAGTTTTTCGGGTCTTCTATGTATAGTGTCATGTCATCAGCAAATAATGATAATTTCACTTCTTCCTTTCCTATGCTTATGCCTTTTATTTCTTTCTCTTGGCTCATTGCTCTGGCTAATATTTCCAGAACTATATTGAATAGGAATGGTGACAGTGGACATCCTTGTCTTGTTCCTGATGTTAGAGTGAAAGCTTTCAGTTTTTGTCCATTTAGTGTGATGTGGATTTGTTGTAGATCGCTTTTATCAGGTTGAGATAAAGACCATCTATTCTGATTTTCTGTAGGGTTTTTATCATGAATGAGTGTTGGACTTTAGCAGAAGCTTTTTCTGCACCTATTGAAATGATCATGTGATTTTTGTCTTTGGCTTTATTGATATGGTGTATTACATTAATTGATTTGTGTATATTAAACCATCTCTACATGCCTGGGATGAATCCCCCTTGGTGATGATGTATAATCCTCTTGATGATTTGTTGCATTCTGTTTGCCTAGTATTAAGAATTGTTGCATCTATATTCACTGGGAAGATTGGCTTTTAGTTCTCTTTTTTTGGTTGGAACTTTCTCTGGTTTTGGTATCAAGGTAATACTTGCCTCCAGGAATGAGTTCAAGAGAATTCCTTCTCTTTCAATTTCATTGAAGAGTTTGAGAAGAATTGGTGTTAAATCTCTAAATTTTTGGTTGAATTCAGCTGTGAATCCATCAGGATCTGGGCTTTTTTTTTTGTTGGTAAGTTTTCTATTACATTTTTAGTTTCATTGGCTGATACTGAGTTATTCAGGATTTTTATATCTTCTTGATTCAGCTTTGGTAATTCATGTGTGTCTAGGAATCTGTCCTTTTCCTCTGTGTTTTCCATCCTATGAGAGCAAAGATTTTCCAAGTAGGTATTGGTGAACTTCTGAATTTCTATAGGACCTGTAGTGATTTCATCCTTTTCCTTCCTTATTGCAGGGAGTTTGAGTTGTTTCTTTCCATTTTTTGATAAGGGATTTATCAATTTTATTTATTCTTTCAAAGAACCAACTCTGCATTTCATTAATTCTATGTATTGTTTTCTTAGTCTCCACTGTACTAATTTCTGCTCTGTTCTTTATAGTTTCCTCCCTTCTTTGGGCTTTGGGCTTGACTTACTCTTCTTTTTCTAGCAGCTTGAGGTGTAGCACAAGGTTGTTTATTTGTGCTTGTTCTGTTTTCCTGATGTGAGAATTCACTGCTATAAATTTCCCTCTGAGGACTGCTTTCATTGCATCCCATAGGTTCTGGTAAGCTCTGTCTGCACTTTGGTTTGATTGTAAATACTGTTTAATTTCTTCTTTAATTTCATCTGTGACCCATTGGTTGTTCAGAAGGATGTTATTTAATTTCCATGTGTTTATGGAATTTTTGCTGTTTCTTTTGTCATTAATTTCCAATTTCATTGCAGTATGGTGAGATAATATGCATGGGATAATTTCAGTTCCTTTGCATTTACTTAAGCGTGTTCTATGTGCTAGTATATGGTATATTTTAGAGAACGTCCTGTGTGCAGCTAAGAATGCGTATTTTGATGTTGGG